GGGATGGGACAGGGATGGGACACGGCCAGGACCAGGGCCAGCCTGCAAAGGGCACCCAAGCGGATCTCGGGGTGCTCACAACACCGCTCCCATTGCCGGGATTCGGGCAGGAGGGGGCTGCAGAGCCTGAGCCCCTCACCCGGAGCTGCACGGGGGGCTCATGGCTCGGGATGGGCTCTGGTGAAGGAGCTGGGGCTGAGATTCACCGGAGCAGAGCCCCCAAGGATCACCCCCACCTGGAGCTCACACCCCACAGACAAAGCCTTTCTTTGCATTCTGGAGACAGACGGCTCCGGGGCTTCTCTCGTTCCGATGCACACGCAGACACCTCGCTCAGCTGGAGCTGTGCTGAGCTGCCAGCCTGGCTGGGAGCCCTGGATCACCCCGGGAACAGGACCTGCAGGTCCGAGAAACCCGGGATGTGCCGTGCTGGAAGGGACCCACAGGATCACGAGTCCAGCTCCTGTCCCTGCACAGACACCCCAGCATCCCCACCCTGGGCATCCCTGCTGTCCAAACATTCCCGGGGCTCTGGCAGCCTCCTGCCCATCCCCTGGGAGCTGCTCCAGTGCTTTTTCCACCTTCTGGGGGAAGGATCTTCCCTGATCCCCCCACTCTGCAAACCAACCCTGCCTCTCCTACCCCACAGCCCCCAAAGCTGCAGCCCAGAGCTGCCGCTGGGATGGACCAGGCTCCAGGAAAAGCCACCAAATCCATTATTAAATTTTTATCAAACAATGCAGAGGGCTGCGAAGATCACACTAAAATTTAATGAGCCGGGCTTGTTGGCTTCCCCGAAGAAGCACATTACAGTAAAAGTGTGGCTCCGGAAAGGTGCCTGACTTCCAGGTATTATCCACAAACCCTCCCCACTCCCTGCTCACCGGGAGAAACGAGGCGTGAAGTGCTTCCTTATGGCTGGTTAAACGAGAGTTTGTTTTTCCTCTTCCTCCAGACACCAATTTCTTTTCGTTCACCATCTCATCTTGCCACAATTTATTTATTCTGGAATTTTGACTCTTCAGAGCACACGGGCAGAAAGGCCTCGCAGCAAAGCTGCTCTTCTTCAAAGAGCAGGGATGTTGTGTGGATTGAGCACCCCCTCCTCAGTCTGCAGTGATCTGTGCTCTGATCTGGACCAGCAGAAAGGAAGCCCCAACCCAAGATTGGGGGTTTTTTGGTTTTTTTGGGTTTTTTTTACCTCAGAGCCTCCAGTTCCCAGCTTAGGATGCAGGCAACATCGCATCTAGAACTGCACAGCTGCATGCAGCAATTCAAAAATTGTCTTGTTGGACTCCAATGTGCCAATTTCTCCCATTTACAGCCATTTCCAGTATTACAGCCCGTGGCACTGAGGCCAGCAGCCTTTTCTTCAGGGAGCAGGAGCTGCTGCAGAGGTGACCATTACCACAGCTGCCTCTCCTCCGGCCAGGGGAAGGGATGGGGAGATGCAGGGCTGGATTCCATCAGCTGCAGAGCCCTGTCTAGACCGGGGGCTGGCAGCGCCTCCCGCTCCCTTTTCATTCGCCTGCTTCAGCTCCAGCCTTGGGA